GGGGCAGTTCAGTATCAGCAGCAGCCGCCTGGTCAGCACTCTTCTTGCTGGACTCGGCCTTAGCTGCATCATTTTTTGATGCCTTACCCCCAAGTGGCACAAGCGCCACAACCGGCTCTTCCTCCTCCAACGCAACGTCCATCGCCTCTTCTTCAGCAGCCGCCAGGATCTGTTGATTATATATTTCCGAACACTGGCGGTACGTTCTTTCCCATGAGGCAAAGTCGGCACTGGGGAACAGTCGTTCCCAGGTCATGCGTTGGATTTGGGCGGAGTCTTCCACCATCTCCCGGACGAGCTCTTGTTTCTCTTGCTCGGCCTTGTCCGAGAGCTCTTGGGTAAGACTCTTCTCCTGGTTCACCAGGCGTTCTTTTACGTTAGCCAAAGATTTCTCCATGGCTTCGTAAGAGTGCATTTTTTGGCGAAGGGGTTTCAGCTCGGTTTTAAGTTTGGTGACGGTCCCCTCCAGCTCGTCAACCTTCTTTTGGGCCGTCTCTAGCTGAGCCCGAACAGCGGCGGTCGCCTGCGCCTGATAATAAAGAAGATCAAGGGTCAGTACTTCATTTTGGGCAATTTGAAACATTGCCTTATCACAGCTGGAGGCGGCCATAGCCTTTGCGGCCTTTACCTCTTTGTTTTTTCCGATCAATCGGCTTGCGAAGGCTGTTGACTCGGAGCAGGGCCTAAGTACAAAGAAAAACAGGCGTCAGTTTCCAATCAAAAGAGTTAACAGGCGTCCTGGAACTCAAAAGCTCAAAAAGGTGCTAAGTATACCTCAGCTAGGATCCCCGAAATTCCATCGAGGTCAAGGGTGCCGGCACCCTTGACCGCCTCCCTGTCAGATGGAGGAACTATTTTAACCATTGACTTGGCTACCTCAACCAAGTCAAGTCCCTGGGGGCCGGCTGCATTAAGCGAAAGGAAAAAACAAGTTAGACCTAATCAAGAAGGAAGCAAGGGTGAGTTTTTACAAGCAAGTGTCCATACATCTAGGCGGCCCCGCCTGGGTTTTTGAAGAAGTGGCCGGCTGCTTCTCAGCCGCCACTGTTTTCCTGGAAGACCCAGGAGAGCTTGCAACAGTCGTCCTCCGGGCCTTGGGGTCCGGCTGTTGCGAGGAAGAAGCCCTTGGAGTGCCAGACTGAAAACAAAAAGAGTTAGTATATGCATAATACAACTAAAAGGAGGAGTTTTCAAAGCTTACCAAGGGTGCCTCCTTGCTGGGGGAGTCGACATACGACTGCTTCATTAGTGAGACCCGCAGCATGGCCGCCGCGGTCTTAGATGCTGTTATTTTACTCATGGCGTCGGCTGAAAGAAATAAACAGCAAAGTTAGTAAAAATTCCAAGTAAACAAGGCGTGAAAAAACAGAGTATTCGTCAGGCCGGCTACCTCTAGAGCACCGACTGCCGAGGCCACAGGCGGCCAAGAAGTACTCGTCATAGAGCCACTTGAAGCTCGGGACGCAATTTAGGGGTACTTGCTCTCGTACCCCTGAAGTAGAGTTCACCCTAGTCTCTACTTTGAAGAGTCCTTTGTCTAGGATCTCTTTTTTAGCCTTTGGGGGAACAGGCGGCATGCTGCGGCCGCCTGCGAGAAGAGGTGGATCCCTGTTCCACTTATTAAAACGTTTGTTCAGCTCCGTGTCTGAACTCTCGATAATAAGGAAGGTGTTCCGCCAATCCTTCCATTTGTTTGCCTTACCTCTCGTCATGAGGTAACCCCTATGGCTTGTCAATTGATACCAGCCGGTACCTCCCGACTTGGGGGTCCGGCTGAGATAGTTCATGTGGGCGAAAGCCTCAAAACTTGGCTCCACCCCGTTCAGTTCGCACCCGGCCACATAGCCGAGTACGTTTACCCAAGAGTTGGGGGCTAACTGCCATAACCCCAGATCATACCCATCTAAAATCCGCTGAACAGCCGGATGTAATGGGAAGCGCAGTCCAGCTTTGATGGCCGCCACATAGCAGCCAAAGCAGCCGTCACCATAGCTGGTACCAGCCGGCCAGACGACAGTATCTTCTGGATCCGGCACAAACAGTAAATACTCCGGGCCCATTTTGTGGTTAGCAATAAAGCTCGCCACGTTGTCTCGCATGGTTGCAATCCGGCCCCGGGGCACCCTGCAGTAGTAGGGGGCGTTTTCCTCTCTGTAAGAGGCGGACGGCTCTGCCCAATTATCCCCCTTCTCCACTGCATGAGAACTTCTCGCCTCTTGTAGGCGGCTATGTTTTTCTTCTGAGCCAGAAGAACTATGGTCAGAAGAGCTGGATTCGGACTCGTCCCCTGACGAGTCCGAAGAGGACGACTCCTCCCCTCTCCTAGAGGGGCCCGCCTCCTCTCCCTTAGAAGGAGCAGAAGGAAAATTAGACATGTCCACGGTTAGATGAGAAGGGAACACCTTGGTCCCTCTCTCAGCACTGTCAGCTTGACAGTCGCCTCGTTCTACATCTGGCGCCTGGTCAGATGTTTCGCTAAGGAGCACCCTTTGGGAGGAGCCGTCTGAGTTTGATATCATAGCAGTCTTTTTTGTTCTGGCCATCACGTTCTGCATAGACACAGATTCAGTCGGACTTTGTATAAAGGGCAAAGATGGGTCCAGAAAAGGGCAGGCGGCACTCCTAGTCCTAGATTCAGCCGTCCCCGGTGACCGGCTGATCACTAACTTAGGGCGTGTCGTGTGCTTCCATGGTGCCATTTCAAAAAATAAAAAGAAAATTAAGAGTAAGAGAACTGAGTTACCTGAACGGGTGACGGTTGATGAAGTCCTGGAAGTTCGGGTCAGTCGGCTTGTCAGAACAGGCGGTAGGCAGAAAAAGTCCGAAAATGTCAGAGCAAGTTCAGGGGTCCGAATGTTCTCGCAAAAGTTCTCAAATGTGAAAATGACCGAAGTCAGCACTTCCTTTTATAGGCAAAATGAGAAGGCGAAGGGTCGCTTCCAAATTCAAATTTGGGCGGGAAAATCTCTCGGCCGTCTGCAAGGTGACACCTGTAACGGGCCGTCGCCTGTCACCGTGCGACACCTGTCACAGGCGACACGTGACCAGTCGCGTGCCACCTGTGAGGGGCAAATGATTAGGGGATTTTTATCCACCAATCACCGTCTGACAAGTGGACCAACCAGGTTCCGCCACGTGTCCTTCACGAAGGCCAACAGGAGCTTGCCACGTGTCAGTCACAGATACGTCCTCCACGGACCACTTAAGACACGCCACGTGTCCACCCATGCCAAGTGGGACAACCGGCCATCAAGGCCCATTTCAGTCTAGAGGCCCGATCAGCCCTAGGTTTACCTTAAGCCTAGAGAGTTGCACGCTTCCCAAGGCTATAAATACTCGATTAATCCTCATTAATCAAAAAAGAACAAAAAAACAACCGAATAATTAAGAGATCAAGCAGAGAAGAACAGACTTATTAACAACCGGCTAATCTCGCTAACGACGCAGATTACCAACACTAAGCACTCTCACCTAGAGAGATCTCATTACTTTACTTTCTGTATTGATTACTCCTTAATCAGGTACTAACTTGACCGTTGGAGGCGGAGCTCTCAGGAGTCTCCGTTATTTTGCAGGTACAGACGTCCGGTTCCAGTCTCGGAATTGTAACTCTCCCGCAGGACATCAGAAAACCCCGAAACAGAAACCAAAATAAAACAACCACCACCTACAACCACCAATTGAAGGCGGTGACAAAGGGATGGTTGATCCGCGGCGCATAAGGGTGACGACGGCGGTAGGGGCTTGGGCGGCGGCAGCGAACAGGTAAACTAAAAGAAAAAAAAAATCAAAATCCCAGAACTTCCGCTCAGAAATTTCGGAAAACCAAGGAGGATCCGCCTGAAATTTCCGGATCATCCTTGGTTTTTCTGGAAATTTAAGGCGGAAGTGGAGATCTGCCTGAAATTTCCGGAAAAACCAAGGAGGAACAGGATTTTTCAGGTGGATCCTCCTAGGATTTTTCGAAGATTCCAGGCGGATGTCTGGATTTCCGTTTTTTTTTTGTGAATAATTTAGTTTAAAAAACTGTGTGTGATTATGATTATTGTTAAAATAAACATGATTAATAATTATTAGTAATGTTATTATTAGTATGATTATTAATATTTTGATTATTGTTGTTGTGTTGTTGTTGTTATTATTATGATTAATGGTATTATTAGTAATTTTATGATTATTATTATTAGGAAAATTCTCAACGGTAACCCTCAACTTGTGTAACACTGAAATGGTAACCCCCTTTTTTTCTAATTATACATCATGACCCTCATTAAAAAATTTAAACTAGTTATGACATTAATGAGTCTTATATGGTTTAAAAATTAAACCATGGTTATATTTTTTGTAAAAAAAAAAAAAAAAAAAAAAAAAAAAAAAAAAAAAAAAGCCAAATAAAAAATTAAACCACCCACCCACCTTCACCAGCCACCATCACCCTCTCCCAACCGCCGCCACCTCCACCTATGCCTCCACCTCATCCTCACCTAGTCGTCGTCACCAGCCCCTCACACAACCTGACACCCCTACTAGACTCAAGACCCTCCCTCTCACTAGTAGAAAAACGCAAAAAGCCACCGATTCAAAACCCCCTTATGCCACCGGTTTGAACCGCTGGGCATTTGGGGGGTGGATATACATGCTTTAAAAGCCACCGATTCAAAATTGGTGGCAAAAACTATTATCGCCACCGGTTAACCGGTGGCAATACTCATTTCCCGCTTTTTTATATATTAAATTCAATGCCACTGGTTAACCGGTGGCAATAACTCATGTAATTTTTATTTTTTTTAATCACTTGATATATCGAACAATTAAATAAAAAAAAATTCCAACATCAAAATATAAATAGCACAATATCATTCAATATAATCGCCAACTTACAACATATTATTTAAAAAAAATTACAATATAAAATCAATATACGAACAATTACAACATATAAATCAAAAAAAAAAATACAATATAAATCAAAAAAAAATTACAACATCAAAATTTTAAAAAAAAAAAAAACCATACATCATAAATAAATAATTTTTTAAGGAACATCAATATTCCTGCATCTTGATTCTTCGATTTAAGATGTAAATCAATATACCTGCACCAATTAAAACAAAAAAATAAATCGACTAAAATAAATAAGCTGCGAAAAACTGATAAACCGACTATGCATGTACCCATAAGCTGCGAAAATAAGTAAATCGACTATGCATGTACCCAAAACCGATTAAAATCAATTAAAAACCCACAAAAATAAAAACAACACCGAGAAATTTCGTTAAAAACCCAGAAATTGATTTTAAAGATCTCAGAAAAAAAAAAACCAGAATTAAAATCGAATTACACCTAGAAGAAGATCGAATTAAACCCAGAAGGAATAAAAATCGATTAAAATCAAATAAAAATCGAATTAAAATCGATTAAAAGAAACTCAGAAAATTACAAAATCGAATTAAATTCAGAAATTAAACCCTAACCTCGAATAATTAAACACACCCACCACCATAACCACAACCACCACCACAAACCACCACAATAACCACGAATTCCACCAAAAATAACAAAAAAACAAAATAAAAGTAAGAAAAAAGAGAAATTACCTCGAATTCCACCAAAAGCCCAGAAATTATCTTGAATTTGACCTGAAATCCTCAAATTTGGTGTTGCATGTTGCGGCAAAGTTAAGTTGTGGCGGCAGCGGTTGGTGGTCAAAAGAGTTGAAGAGGAGGGAGGAGGGAACGAAAGAAGAGAGAAGAGAGAAGAGAGAATGAAGGAGGAGCGAGATCAGAAGAATGAAGGAGGAGAGAATAGAGGACTGAAGGAGAAGGAGGAGCGAGATCAGAGAGGGGATGAGAGGAGAGAGAATGAGGGAGGAGAGAGAAAATGAAAGGGTTAGAGTTTGGGAAAAATGATGGGTTTTATAAAAGGCGTGGGTTTTATAAAAAAAAAAGCCCTTTCTTTTATGTGAAAGCCACCAGTTTTGAACCGGTGGGAATAATATTTTTCCCACTGGTTCGATTTGAACCAGTGGCAATACTATCCCCGCCCATTTTTCCCCATTTTTTCCCACCGGTTCTTAAAAACCGGTGGCTATCGACGGTGCCTTTTTGCCTTTTTCTACTAGTGTCTCTCTCTCCATCGACCCTCAACCCACTCGCCATACCTTCCTCTCTTTCACCTCCGCCCAAACCAGAACCAATTTTGCAACCCATACCATCAGTTTAGGGTTTCGACAAAGGTGGTGGTGGTTCGAAACCCTTACACGAGTCGTCGCACCTCAGTCGAACCTTAACCACGGTGGTTTGGGTTTGATTTGGGCGGAGTAGAATGACAGAGGAGTTGCGGTGGGAGGAGAAACCGAGACAGAGGAGAAAGAGGGAGCTTCGTGGGGCTGGGATAGCAATATCGTCGGAGGGAGGAGAAGCTTCGGCGCCGGCGAGGAAAAATGGGACGGCGATGGCAGTGAAAGGGGGAGAAGTAACGGTGGCAGGCAGGTTTAGAGGTGGTAGTGTGGGTGGTTGGTGGTTTTGTTTTTTTTTTTTTTTATTATTATTATTTTTTTTATGTTTTTCTTTTTTTTAACCTAACCATAGTTAATTTAAATCAACCATTTAGTAAAATAAGGTTATAAGTGAAAATAAATTCTTAATTGGGGTCATTTTGTATAATAATAAATAAAAGGGGGTTACCATTTCAGTGTTACACAAGTTGGGGGTTACCATTGAGAATTTCCATTATTATTATTGTTGTTGTTGTTATGATTAGTGTTGGTTTACAATTATTATTATTATATTGGTTATGGTGTTGGTATGAAATTATTTTATTTGTATATTAATATTTGTAGTCCAACTTCAATCAAAGTGTTTTTTTTTGTAATTATTACTAATATTTTATTTTGTACTTATTTATTGTAGATAGATGGTTCTGGTGCTCGTCATGCAATATCACGGCGTTTGAATGCGTCTGTTAGGAGAAACCCATCTCGTTCAGTAATGACTAGGTCACCGCTTCAGCATGAGCATCAATATGGGTCTTCTAGTGGTTGGTCGGGAGACCATCATTAAGGAGCTAGTCGACCGTGTATTCTTCAAGTGGACTACGTACATCTGACGAGGAGGACGAAGACTCGGCTATTCATGCTGGTGATCGGGACGAAGAATTGGACCCTCAGGATTATCATATGGTATATAGGGGTCAGCATGGGAGATTCGTTGGTAGTCAAGCGAGTCAGCCTATCACCATCTCGGCAGAGACATGGTCAGTGCAGCAGCCGATGCCAGGTGGTCCTGAGGATGGGAGTGTTATATCCCTAGTTTTGGTGGTCACGTGGCATCATACATATGGATTGAGAATGAGCGAAATGTTCGCGGTGTTTGAGTAGGCCAAAGCTGTAATCTAAATTGGTTAAGCGACGAGGTCACCTTTCACAAGAGAACCTCGAATTGATTGATGTCGGCTGGTTGTCTCACTTACCCGGGCTTATGTTTAAAAAGCTTGATTGGCCGTTGATTTATGTTTTTATTGAGAGATGGCAGCTTGATACGAACATAGTACATTTCATATGCCATTTGGGGAAATCACGATCATGCTGCACGATGTGTACTATATTCTTGGGCTTCGTGTCGATGGTGCTATGGTTACCACTACACCTAGCACGGACGTCTTACGGGACGTGTGCTCGGTTACCATGGATATGAATAAGGATAAGTTGATTGAGATATGCGGTACTAAGACGATTTGGCAGGGTAGTGGGGTGTTGACTGATAAGATTTTTGGTACGACGTTGGATGCTGAGAGGCCCTTTTGTGTCCATGTCTGCATACATGTGGTTAGTGCTTGGAGGTTCACTGTTTTCTAGACAAGAGTGGTAACCAGACTCATCCTTCCTTTCTCCATGAGCTAGTCGTGATGATACCCCTATTAACGAGTATTGTTAGGGTACAACTACTCTAGCTTACTTGTATCGGCAATTGGGTACGTGAAGACACCTAAAAATGTCTCCCCAAAACCAAGCCCGATGATAAATAACCTTTCACCGCCGATATTGGTCGGGTTTAGTATTTAATCCCGAGAGTGCTTAAAAAATCGTATTTTATTAAATTCATATTTTTGAAAGGTCCATGGATCAGTCTTAGTGTTTGATAAAAGCATAGTTTCAATTTTAGCCCAAGCTTGTTAATTAATTTTAAGCCCAAACCTTTTTATTTTATTATTATTTTTGGTCCAAATATTTTATTTATTTTTATTTTATTATTTTCTTATTTTAGCCCGAATAATAAAAGTCAGAAAAAAGCCCGAAATTATCAATCGACACTTAAAAAGCCGAAATAAATTAGGGTTAAAAATGAATTTAGACGGAAAAGTGGACTGGAACTGACCGTGTCACAGTCAAGCTTGACCGTGTCACGGGAACTGTTCCCGTCTGACGGTAGGGCTTCCCGTGACACGGGAGGTCTGCTGTGACACGAGAAGTTCCGTGTCCTTTCCGCGTAAACCCTTAACGCGTTTTCTGTTCCGTTTTCTAAAAATTTCCCGCGTCACTCCAAAACTGACCGTGTCACGGGAACTTGTACCGTTTGATAGTACAGTCTAACCGTGTCACGGTACAGTCTGACCGTATCACGGGATACGTTTTTAGGGTTTTTATCATTTTAGAGTCCCGTGAGCTCCCTCAGCACATTTCCCTATAAATACCCCCTCATTTCTGATGTACGGGGCAACCAGAATGCTATGATTCTTATTTTCTCTCTTCTATGATATTAACCTAAACACTAGCCTACCCTTTTCACTTCAAAATTCCTTCTTCAAGCACTCAAAGGAGTCCATATTTTACTCGAGGTTCTATCCTTAAACCAAGGCGTGAAAGGTAGAATCGTTTGAGGGTTTGGCCCCAAAATCAACCTTATTTTATTTAATTTAATTTAATTGTTGTTTTATTATTTCCTTGAAGTTACTAACTCGTTTATTATTTTTGTAGTTGCAAACAAACAGATTCAAAGTAAGGGTCGCGCTCTTTTTATTATTGTTATTTTTCTAACGATTTTTTATGTTGTTAGAATTATGATTAAATTGGTTTTTATATTGATTCTATTATTTATTTTGATCACCATATTGCATGTTTAAAGGGAATATGTAATTAAAAATCACGACTAATAAGATAATTTGGACAACTGGTTTAGGATCCTTTTTAATCTTATTATTAATTGAAGTGATCACCAAATTTTTAGAATAATGTGTGCATTAATCTTGAACCAATTTAGTTAAATACTAGATTGGAGGGAATTGAATTATTGTTTGTATACCTTTGAGATCACAGGAATGCTTTTCACTATAAGAATCGAGTAGAGGCCAATACGGGCGAATGTGACTCCATGACTCACTTCGTACCATCATCCCCGATCCTCCTTTCGTGGTTCCGAACCATATGGAGTTAGTAATCTCATGGATTATGAATGGGGTGTAACCTTCACGGGTCAATCGTTGTTGCCTATCGTTGTCCCTTTATCGTGGTTGCCTTTTATGATCCGTGAACGGTTTACAAGTTCCTTAAAAACTTGTTGGCGACTCCCTACTTTTTTTGTCCCTAAACGTTGTCCCTAATCGTAATGTCAATTCCCACTTCCTATGAGTGCCAAGCATATTCACAACATGCTTTTTAACGTAGGCGCACTTCAAATGACGCCTACAATTTGGCGACTCCACTGGGGAGGATTCTTTATTATTTATCGATTTGAGTGATCGGTATTTAATTAAGATGAGTGGATGAGACTTGAAAGATTCTTGAAAAAATATTCCTGTGATTAATTTGGCATTTTTGCATCTGCATAGACGTTTTAACGTCGCATTCAGGTCTGTCCCGTAGGAAAAATTGGATAACTCGGTTGCGCGCAAAAGCAAACAGGGCACCAGTCAGATTTTCTGACTGCCGTGTCACGGCAGAGTCTGCCGTGTCACGGTATAGTGTACCGTCTAACGGTACTGTCGTGTCACGACAATCCTAAAATCTGTCCGGTGGCCTATTTTCTTTTCTCACAGTCGACTTCCTTCGATTTTTCTGAAAAAATGTATGTGTTCTACATGCGTCTTAGCCCTGGGGGATTTAAGCTCTATCAACCCAAAAACGCTCATGGCAATAAGGGTTCATCCGAGTTATTAAATCCACCCAAACCATGGAGTCGAGTTCGATTTCATCACGAACTCGCGGAGCCGCCCATTGGCATACACCCTCAAGGGAGGCTGCCTTGCTAACGCGTCCAAACTCTTAACCATGGTACCCTTTTGACACCCAAATCTTGACCAATAGTTGAACATAGATCTTGACTTTAGGTTGCGAACTTTTTTTACATCATCGTGCCTAAATGCTATGTGTTTGTTCGGTGCTAACCCTAATGTGTTTGCTCTTTTTGTTTGACCTATGACCGAGGGTTTTTATTCTCACATAGTAATTAGTACGGACTTAAAATCGATTAAAATCTGAAAAAATCACAAAACTGACCTGGAACTGCGCACCGTGTCACGGCATGTTCTGTCGTGTCACGGTGAACAGTGCCGTGACACGGGAAAGTCTACCGTCTGACGGTAGACTGCACCGTGTCACGACAGTTTGCACCGTGACACGGTGCCCAGGAAAGTGTCCTGTCAGTCTTGTTCTCGATTTTTGTGCGAATGATGTGTCCAGTTTTGGGTCGTGTCTAGCTATACGGTCAAAACACGCGTCCATAACCTCACTTAATCACTTACATGTCGTGTTTACACACTTTTTTGCTTTAAGTCGTGCACCACTTTTTTAACCGTATTTTAGGGAAAGTCTTGTTT